TTTTTCGCTGCTGCTTTTATGTACATATAACTGCACTGTCGTTTGAAATGGTCGTGTTGTCTGGGGACGGGGAACTATGGCGCGGAAACATTAGCGTGCGCACATGTGTAATGTAGACAAGTGATGTACGCACGTCAATGTACACACGTGAATGTACTCGTGTTAATGTACTCACATGTAACCCTACCTTCGCGTAACCGTACTTACACACATGCGTGTGCGCGAACACACTTTCTACACATGGACATTTGCCCACTCGACAGTTTCTGCCTCCACAAATGTTGCGTTCGTGTGTAGGTCATACTTGGGGAGAAATTTCGCTCTTCCAGCGAACACTACTACGCATATACTCTACCCAACTTTCACGTTCTTATTGCTGTGAACACTTTGGTTTTTCCTGCATAAATTGATCTTCCGTTTGGAAATTTGTTTCCAATTTATGCGTAGGATGGAATGATCATGCAGACTGTTTTTTTGTTTTTCTTTCTCTCTCTCAAGAATTGGGCATTAATTTTTTTTTTCCGATTTTCCACTTTGTTGTTTTTTTTTTTATCTCCCTTTGTTGTTTTTTTTTTTTTTTTTTTTTTTTTTTTTTTTTTTTTGCAGAAGTGCCAAAACTGGCGCCTATGACAAACAACCCCGCGGCGTGTTGCAGGGATGAACAGTTCTGCAAAAAAGAAAAAATCGCCTATTTTTTGCAATCTTTAGTTTTCTGTGTTTTAACGATTTTTTCTTCCTTTCCTCCTTGTCATATAGAATTCACTACATGTGTAAATTTTCCAACTTTTTTTTTTTGGTGAAAGGCGAATGAATATACGTAACAGAACGCAATTTTTTTCACAAAATGAGTGCCACATGAAACTGCCTTTTTTTTTTTTTTTTTTGTTTTTCTCGTCTCTTTGTCAAACGGCTTTGATAATGTAGATTGTTACATTGTTAGATTTCCCCTTCGTTGTTTCTCCCTTCGCAGTGACACGATGCATTTGTGTGTATGTGTACAAACGGGCAGATCTATGGATGCATTCGCGCGATATATGTACACACAGCGTGCATACTTGTAGGTGCAAGGGTCACACTTTTGTAAAATTTTTTCACTCCACCTGAACCTGCTTCTACCACTAAGTGTTGGCTTCGATGACCTTGTCACCCCACTCCCACTTGGCAATTTTTCCAAACATTGAAAAATGCCTTCAGGCGCCAAAAAGAGAAGTTCAATGATCTGAGATACGTTGTCCTACTTCTAAACGTTTTGCATTTTTTCAAGAAAAGGAAAAACATCCCGCCATGCAAAACATAATCGACACGTACGAAATAATTGGCAAAATCGATGACCAGAGATCCATTTCCTCGAACAGTCTGCTCAGCCATGAGGAATCCCATGAGGGGTCCCTGGCTGCAGGGGGAAACGACTCCAATTTGGACAGCACGGAGAGGAAGGGACTAAGAAACAACGCGGATGGGGAAGAGGCTGAACAAGGGAGCAAAGAAAATCGGTGTAAAGGGTACAAGGGAGGATGCCCAAAAGGGGACACGAGTAAGTCCAAAAGTTCCACCATGGAAAATATGAAAGGCGAGTTTGAGGGGGAGACAAGTACTGGTAACTTAAATGGTGGGAGCCAAAGCAACTTGATGCGCATCGACAGCGGTGTTGAGAAGGCCGCGCCCGGTGAGGAGGCGGCAATCCATGGGGAACCGGCAACCACTAAGGTTTCCCCCTCGGAAAGCAAAACAAATGACAAAATTGAGGATACTCTAAATGGGGGTACCACCCATGGGGGAGACTCGCCTACTGCGGACAACCCGAATAGGAACTCCAACCAGGAAAGAACCTCCCAAATTGACAACTGCAAAAATAGCTGCAAAAAGCATTACAAAGTGCTGATACACGCGCCTGCCTGTTGGAAGGGAGAAAAGTTTAACTCCACCCCATTCATTTTTGTGTACGACAAGTCAAGTAACTTTTTTACATATAGTGAGTCTCCACTAGAAATTGAGAAATACATAATTGATACGAGTGCAGAGAACTTCCAAAGCAGAGTACTGACAATTATTTTTTACGACTCCGTTTTTGCCTGCACCACTTCATCCCTTCTTCTGAATAACAACAAAGGAGAGATTCATCACTTGCCCAAGCCACTCAGTGTGTTTTACCTCCCCCTAAGCAAGTTGGACTTATGTAACGATTCTGTGAAATATAGATTGGCTCTAAGGACAAACAGTATCCTTTGCGACGTAAACATAAAAGAAGCCATTAGCTTGTTCAATAACAATTCTAAGATAGCAGGACCAAATGTGAATAAGTTCAGCCTACATTTAATTTTGAAAAATAGAAACTACCATGACAATGAGATGTATAGCTACCTGAATTACCAGACGAAGTTTTACGGGTTGCCCCGTTCTAACCTCTCATCATGTGTGCCAAAATACACAGGGGTGAGCACAGACAGGGCCAAAATGGACAGACCCTCCAGAAACGTGCCCAATAGGTACGTAACCAAGTCATCCAAGAGCCAAGTGCATATATTTACAAAACACCAAACAGATCCGAACCATTTTATTTCCCTCGAGAGGTTAAAAAATAAATGGGAAAATTACAACCAGGTGAATAATGAGAAGAGGACTCAAAACCACTCGGCATACAATCCGTTGAAGAAAAAGGACACAAAACTTACTTCTTACGGCATACCAAATGATAATGAATCCTTTGTCAGCAGGGGGAAATCGGAGGTGGATCGTCAGGAGGCTTCCATGGGTGGGGAGCAGCCACCTATAAATGATACTCGAAAGTATGGCGAAGCGAACAATGAAAAGGGAACCCCAGTTAAGAGGAATCTCAACAAGAAGGACACTTACAATATGAGCGAAGAAATCAACTCGTACAATTACGGGAAAACCAAATCGATATACGACCTGATGCATGTCAGTAAGGACAAACTGTCAGTCGATTTCGACGCGAAGGATGACGTGTTCCCAGAAGACAGCGCGTCGATGATAAACATTTTTGAAAAGGAATCCGCTTTATCCGAACGAGGGAAGCAGGGCGTGGAGGGGGGAAGCACTCTGACCAGCAACATCAGGGCCGCCAAAGATATGTACTCTCGCGTGAAGAGCGCAATGAGGAAGCGAGGAGATGCTAGAGGCCAGAGTGGAGATCAGTATGGAGATCGCTTGGCCGCAAAACCGGAGGAGCGCAACCGGGACGACGACCTGGAATGCATCACAAAGAGCCAAGTTGACCGATTCGGAGAGGATAAATCGGCGTGCTACTCCCAGCTGGAGAATTTGAGGTGTTTCAACGCGAACAACTCCGTGTGCTCATCCTACGGGAGAAACGACGAAAACGTCATCCTGGCCATGAAGGAAATTAAGCAGTGGATGGAGAAAATAGAAGACAAGATGAGTACCATCTCGTGCGACAAAAGCGACCTGAATGCAGTATCGGGACACAGCCAATCGACAGACAAAAGGTACAACCGAATTATAGCCTTCCTAATTAAAAGCATAAAAAATAATATAAGGCTGAAGAACAAGTGCATATACAGAAGCTGCTATCTGAACATACGAAATCTGTACTTGTTAAAAAAAAATGAAAAAGTCAAGTTTGAAAATAAACTCATGATGAGGAATTACGGGCAGCTAAAGTCCAAGTATAAAAACGTACTAGTAAATCTGTGCAAGAAGAACCTGCTGATAAAGTACTACTCTATAAAGGACAAATTTCAATACAGCAAAAAATACGAAAATATGATGAGACACCTGCAGCAGGAGAAAAATGACCTACTGAGCATTATAGAAGAGAAGAAGTACGAGCAGGAAAACAGTCACAACATCAACTTGATGCTTTCGGAGGAGCTAAAAAAAGCTCAGGAAGATAAGGAGTCCATCTTAAGCAAGAATTTTTTCTACAAAAGTGAGACGAATAAAGCTGCCACCAAGTGTGAGATGCTGCAGAGGGAGGTGGACCGCCTCAAGGAGGAGCTACAATGCGCCAAACGGGAAAGTGAAAAGGAGAAAACGGGGACGGGGCAGATCAAGTTGGAGACGGAGCAGCTGAAAATGGAGAAGGAGGAACTCAAAATGGAGAAGGAGGAACTCAAAATGCAGACGGAGCAACTCAAAATGCAGACGGAGCAACTCAAAATGGAGAAGGACGCCCTCATAAAGGAGCTGGGAGAGACGAAGGCGAAGTATTTCAATCTGACGGGGATACTAGAAGGAGAGGAAAAGATGTACAGCCAAAAGGTACAAGAGTTGGAAAAAAAAATCGAAAATCTGACAGAGGAAAAAAATACACTCATTAACGAAATAAAAGGAGAAATTGACCACCTTACAAAAATGCTAAGCGATAAAGAAATGGAAAATACCCAAATGAAGGAGAAGCTGAAGGAAAAGCTGAAGGAGTTAAAAAATGTGGAGGAGAAATGCAAAGACACACAAATCAATTTTGATTCTCTCAAAAAAGAATTTGAAAAGTCATTCGATGAAGTCCAAATTATTTTAAAAGAAATGATACACAAGGAGAAGGAGTACACCAAGAAGTATAATAACTCTATTAAATGTTTAGAGACAGAACATAGGAAGACTGTGGAGAAACTACTCAACGAGAAGGAGCAATTCGTGACAGAAGCTAATTACTACAAAGATGTGTGCCATAGTCAGTGTAGTAAGATCACTTCCTTTGATGAAAGCCTAACCGCGGCGGAAAAATTGCTAGACCATGTTCTGTCTCAGTACCCACAAGTGTTTAACGATTTTAAAGTCAGCTCGAGGAACAATGTACTAAATAAGTCCTTTGGGAAAATGCACTACGAAAATATTCAATCTGTGCGAGATAATATTAAACTAATTAGGAAGTCCTTGAGTCAATTCAAGATGAGCTTTAAAAATAGCTCCTTTAACTTCCAGATGGGGTCTGATTACAGCAGGAAGTACTCCCTCCAGAAGAAGGGCAGCTTCTCCCCCATCACGGGAAATAAACGAATGAATAGCATTTTGAGATACTACGGGAGTTATCACAGATATGGTAACCAGGCAGAGCATCCATACGTCGAGGACGAACCCTTCTGTGAAGAACAATCCAGCAGGAGGAGATCCATCAGCAATAACAGCGCTAGAAATATGTCCATCATTTCGAACACTAGGAAGACCATCAACTTGAAGAACCAAGTTGATTCGTACAATTCCCAGATGCAGAGGAATGTCTCCCAAAGTAGATGCAGAAGTGGATCCGTTAGTGGGAAGCAAAAGGTATCCACACTATATGGCGACTTGAAGAAGAGGCCCTCTAGCCGAAAGGCCAGCCATGATGAAGAGGCTCCAAATGGGGGCCCAGAAGACGGCAGATTGGATGACCAGCTCGCGGAAAGGGACTCATCAAGGTATACCAAATCGAAGAGCGAACAACTCCGTCAGGAGGCAGCAAAGGGGAGTCACCTTGCCCCGGGAGATTCCTACGAGGCCGCGATGGAGTGGCACGTAGAAGGGAGCAACGGGGTGAGCGGGATGGGCGGTGTAGGCGGCATAGACGGCACTAGTTTCCCAAACGAAATCGACGAGCTGAATCACATCGACATTGTAAACATGTACGAAGCCAACGACTATTTCAACGACGGGGGGGCCACCAATGGGTCCCCGCAGGGCGCATCGAACACTCCATCGAGCACCCCATCCAATCCCCCCGGGATAAACGCGGAGGGCGATTTCTCGAATACCCACCCAGACATAGAGGAAGCAAAAAGAAAAAACAGTGAGAAGGAGAACTACGAGTTTGACAAAGACAACTTCAAGGAAATCATATCCTTTATAGAAAAAAACGTTATGAAAAATTCAGACACTGTAAATACAAGTGGGAAGGATCGAAAGAACGTGGAAGATTCGAAGGGAGCTCCTGGGAAGGCATCCCTGGGCGAGAACAACGGAAGCGGAGGACAAGCCATGTGCGAAAATCAGGAACAACCAGTTGGTCATGCTAAGGCGGAAGAGAAGGACAGCTCACCAAGGAGGGCACAAACGGGTCAGAGAAATATATATCAATCCTCTCCAAGCAGAAAAACAGGAACGTTTAAGTACACAGATAAGGTGAGCAAACACGTTCCGGATAACAACGTTGCAAGAAGTGTTAGTAATAACTCCAAGGCGACTAGCGGCCGAGGTATTATAGGGAGCAATAAGGGTGGTCACCTGACTGGACTGCCAACTGGGCAGCAAAGCAGCAGAACCAAGAACTCAAGCAACACCACATCAGTCACCAAAGCGGTAGTGAGCAGCTGCAGGAAAAACTCCTCCCTGATTTACAGGAAGGGAACCGAAAGTGGCACGGTCGGTAATAACAGGGAGGATGAGGTGAAAAGACATATTAGCACTAACTATAAGTACAGGGCTACGGATGATTCCGATAAACAGTTGAAAAAAAACAAGTGGGACTTTCTCAAATATGCGAAGGGATCCATTGTAAAGAAGAGTGTGACTCCGGACAGGGAAAGGAATACAAGTACCAACGCGAATAAATCAGCTCTTTCGAGGACCTAAATGGTTAGGGCACTTCGGGGGTGTCGGTTTTTTCTTCTATATCATTAGAGGAGTTAGGAAGCGCACAGGGCGAAGGGGGTCCCGCCAAAGTGTAGTCGGTTATTGAGCCCCACCGGGATGGAAATTTATTTTATTTTATATTATCGTATTTTATTATTTTTTTCCTCCACTCTTCATCCGTATTATCAGTTGTACGTTTTGCATTTCGCGCTGCACTTCGCTGTGCATTTTTTCATAAACTTAACGTAACTTAAATTTTTTTTAACTTTTTTTCGAAAAAGGAGGAGTTGCGTAGGTTCTAACGTTATAGGGAGTAGCGGTTTAGGCTCATAGGCAAGCAGGTGAGCAATTCTCGCGGCTTCAAAAAAATTGCCGAGATGACTCCACCGGCGCGCAGGGGGATATACCCTCCGCAGTTGTACGTGCAAAGAGGAGTGGGGGGAAGGAGACCCATGCAAATCAGGAACCTTCGCTTTTCATGAGCTTCAGGAGGACCTGCTTCATGCGGCTATTCTCCTTAAAATACTCACCCTTTTCGAGGTCCAAATATTGGAAAACCTTCAGCCAGGTTTTGTTTTCCAAATTTTCTTCCTTTTTTTTTTCTTCATTCTTCTGCTTTTTAGACAATTTTTTTTTCTCTTCAATTACAATAGCCATTTCTTCATACCATTTTTTTAAGTCTTCCGCAGCCTTCTTTTTTATTTCGATTTTTTTAGTTCTTTCGTACTCTTTCCTTTCTTCTATCCTTTTTAGTCTTTCAGATTCCCACGTAGTTGATTGTTCCGTGTCAGATATGTCGGATTCCTTTTCGTAAAATTGTTCGTATGTATTTTCGAAGGACATTTGGCTTTCCTTCTTAAACGATGTTGTGAATTTATTGGAGCTGTCGTTTTTGGACTCTCCAAAATTGTACTTGTTACTACTACTGCCTGTTTCGTCTACCTCCCTTTTAGCTACATTCAGGTCGCTATAAATGCTGTTAAGCGACATGTTCATGTGGTCATAGTTGGGGCTCTGTTCCATAAGGCTGTCATTCAGCTCGTTGGATAATCCTAATTCGTCACTCCTTTCGTACCCTCCGCTTGGCGCCGCCATGTTATTTTCCTCCCTGGGGCCTCCCTTGCTGTCATCGTACCCGTTGAAGTTGAACTGGTCGAAGTCGTTCAGCTCGCTCATCGTGGGGGTCAGATTTGTATGCAACTAGATGGTATGCACGTGAAACGTACACACTTGAACAAACAATCCAGCCGCTACACCGATAGGCAGTACATTACGCGAGGGAATCCCCTT